GAACAAATAAATGGAGCTGCTGCTGAGATAGCCCAATTGAGTTTAAGTTCTCTAAAAGCGTCTTTTCTTAAAAGGTGCCGAGCTTGTATTAGAGTAGAAGGTCGCCAATTTGAGCATATTTGATCAATAAATGAATAAATTTTTCTTCAAACAACTCAAGTATATCTTATTTCACGTGAACCCATCCTTCACACAAAATATTGATAGATATAGCCCTTGTTATAGACTCTAGTCCGAATTCCGGTAAGTAATATAAAATAACGTTAGAAGCAAGTAATCATGTACCTTTGTACTATTTAGCATGTCATTTGACGGTAACAAGAGCAAATTCAATTTAAATCTATTGAATAGATTCTAGCGTGTCTCAGTCCTTTACCCACAAAAGCGGCTATAACTTTTTTTTTCTATTCGAAACAGTAAGTGTGGCACCTTTCTGAAATCTTTATAAAATGAGCAATTTTTTTATGTAATGTAAAGTTATAGCTCAGTACATTTTTTTTCATCCGAGATAGTCAAAGTTGGGGAAGAAAATATCAAAAAGTTAAAAATCCAGAAATAGTCCTAATTTTATGATGGTTCTTTAATATATTTTAACTACATTGCATTTGAGTATAGAGAGGCAACTATCTGGAAGTATTTTACATAAAAAATTTACTAAGTATTGCCCGGTTTGTAGTTGCAGTTAAAGAAAACACATGAAAAGGCACGATTTCTTTTAAATTCGAAAAAATGTAAATATTTCAAAAACGGTGACACTTTTACCTGAAAATTTTTTGTTTATCAGTGAGCTCACCCACCCACCTACCTTCCCCTAAAGTTTGGCACGTTTCTTCTGGGACACCCTGTGTACATAAAAAATATTGTCTACATCCGCTCAGTAGCGTGGTTAAAATATCTCGCTTTCTTTTATACTATGCATAGAAGATAGTAATTTTAATAGGCAACCCCACTCAATAAACTCAAAATTTTTGTAGATGCGAAGGCCGCACTTTCATTTGGTATCTTATTTTTTTATCCAACAAACGGTGAAGATCTTATAGTTTTTAAACGGGTGGCAACCCTACTCAGAAAAATAATACATTATTACACATCCAGAGGCTAAGCCTTTTCGTTTGACAGTGACGGTACGGAACTGATACCTACGCTTATTATGACTGAATATGGTAATTTTATTAACAGGTGGCAACCTTAATCAAAACAAGTATTAGTGCTTTTCTAGAGGCCAATCCCTTTCATTTGACATCTCATCTTTTGTAATCCAACGAACGGTGCGTATCTTACAGTTTTTAGACAGGCGACAACCCTATTAAAATTCTAAGTAAAAAAAGATCCCTTTCCTGTCGATACAGAGTATATTAGAGAAAATCTCGACAAAATCCGTTCAGTAGTTTTCGAGATTACCGCGTACAAAAAATCTCAACTTTCCTTTACACCATGTATGTAGTTGATGTAGTTTTAAAATACTGTTTTCGTCTTAAGTTGTACAAATGTTTTCTTCAATAAATATCAAATATCAAAAATATGATCTGTCAAAGTTTTAATTTTTTCGTGATTCTGACTAATCATGTTCTAATGAAAATCGTTATATTTCGGGTTCTGCTCATCTTAGAGACTTCAGCTTAACGTCGTTCTAAAGCTAAAGAAACGGGCATAACATCTTACTAATATTATAATTGTGAAAGTTTGTATGTTTGGGAAATCATCACGCGGAAACGACTAAACGGATTTGCATGAAATTTGGTAGGCAGATAGCTTATGGGCCAGATTGGTTAATAGGCTATTCCTTTAAGAGGTGCCATTTGTTAAAAAAGTTTAATTTATTTAATATGCGGGAACGACTGAATGGATTTGCATGAAAATTTGCACACAGATAGGTTATGACCTATCCAGGTATAATATTTGTATGGAAAGATTTTTCTTTAAGGCGACAAACCCCTAGAAATAGGCGTGGCAATTGTAGGACTAAAGTTAGCAAAACGCGGATTTTATCACTTCCTTAACAACATTTGTTCCTCACATTTTTCAATCAACCAAAGTTCAAAAAT